TGAGTGGACTAACAGACACTTTCAGTTCCATAGTCGGGCACTTTTTCATCACTTCATACTCAAATTATCTCCAATTGCAGTTGGAATTAGCTGCGAAGAGTAGTGTTTTGCAGATATGTAATATCTTGACTTGACAATCTGTTGAACTACATAAATCTGCCCTTGCTTCTAAAATGTTACCAAATAAAGGACACGTTCTTCCAGATAAACACGAAGTATGTAATCTTCAATCCATTGTGAAACAACACTAATAACTGTCACCATAGCTGTAGCTGAATTGATGAATGCACATATATGGGGCAAAACTATCCAGCTTATCCTTCGTTTGAGTCCCAATCATCCGTCGCCTAGAGAATGACAAACATAGGTGTGCTGCGTAAAACGTTCTCCGTATACTCCATGATAGTTTGTGGAATAAAGTCTCACTTGGTAAGTCACCATCGGATTGCAAATAAATAAAGATAGAATTTTACGTGCAGTCAGATTCTCAGGTTTCTATCTGATGTTTTCATATGTTTCTTAATGGAACTACTACTCAGATAGCCCATCTCCGTCAAGAAATCGTGAATATATTCAAATTCGTTTTGTAAGAGGTCATCCGCATATATCTTTCTTGCTCTGCATCTAAGACACTTAACAACATTTCTCTTCTATTTAATGGCCACAGGTGTTAGGAAAAGTACTTGGCGAAGACATTGGCTTCTGGTCATGCTTTGCGCCTGAATGTAATCTGTCAGAACTCTCCTTATTCGCTGATAAATTTACTTTCTTTTTGCCACTTCCTTTGGAAACTCCTTGTAAATAATTACTGGTTACTTAAATTCTAGTGACTGCCATTGCCTACATAGAATATGGGTATTCTCAGCTAATTTTGACGACAACATATTAGCATATCGGAGCAAAGCCGAAATTCAACAGAGTGTTTGAAGGTGTTAGAAAAGTAGCTGCTACCATATTTACTGTCGTTAGCGGTAACAAAAGGTCGAGATATACAGAGTGTGAAGGAACGAAGAAGAATGTTTGAAATAGAGTTTGTAAGGAAGAAAGTGACAAAGCAGCACATACCAGGGAAAAAGAGAGAAAAGGAAAAGAAAGAAAGGAAACGTTGTACCTATAAATGATATGAGTTTGGAAGATGAGATCCACTTGTTCTACTGACCATTTAATAAGTTATAGGTATCACGCCTAATGCTTTCCTATCTTATCGCACGGAACACGAGCTAAGTAGGGTATGATTGAGTGTTTGCACTTGCTAATATGAGCATATAGTTTTCTGTATAGGCTTCTTGTTTTGCTTGATGAGATACAACAAGGGGAGAGTTGTGAATGAAGAGGGTGGTGTGAGTTAGATAGATAGAATGGATTTAGCCCATTTTTCACATGAGTCCAAGTGCCTGTCAACCAGAATATCAACAAGCTGGTTAAGTGTCACATTGCTTACCCTGCTGACAACCTTTAACACCCTACGTAATAAGATATAGTACTTCTTCATTAGCCCTGGATAAACTATGGGGGAGGCAATAGAGAATAATAGGCAGGATGCAAGAGTTAACGAATCGTAGGAGTAAAGGTTGAGTTATTCCAGAATATCTTAACTTCTTGATGTAGAAAGTGATACGGAATATTTTCTTAGAAATCATCAAGATATGAGACAACCAGGAAAGATCAGCAGATAGAATGACTCCAAGATATTTAATTTCCGACTTGGTTTCTATTTCAGTGCCATCCATCTATGTAGCACACCACGTGAGTGCTAACCAGATTTATGCCTGAAGGTGGAGGGGTTTAAGGTTAGACCGTTTTCCTTGGACCACTGGCTGATTTCTGATAAAAAGCCATTTAGTTTGGAGCAGTCACTTTGACATTTGACAGGCAAAGATACAGTCAGGTTGGCATCATATTTGACAAAATTAATGTCATTTGAAGATGGTAAGTCATGTAGAAAGGAAGAAAAGAGAAGTGGGGAGAGCACAGCACCTTCGGGGACACCAGCTTCAGTGAGCACATCAGAGGAGGATTTACCTTTGTATACAGTGTACTGCATTCTGTTAGAGAAGTAGGAATGCAACCAGTTAGTGACTCAGGATACAGTTTGTGTTATAGAGAGCTTCTTTAGCAAGAGACATCTAGTTACAGAGTCGAAAGTTGAAGTGAAGTCGAGAAACGTGCAGCGAACGTATTTGACACCCTTATCTAATGATGAGACAGTACTGTTGTGTAAGACGGCTGCAGCATCTGAAGTGATCCTGCCCTGTCTATATGCAAATTGTTTAGGGTCTTCAAAATCTTTAAGGGAGGGTTCAAGTTTATGAAGCACTAGTTTTTCCATAATCTTTAGAAACGAGTAAGTAATGGCAATGGGTCTGAAATTTACGTTCTTGCTATTACCAGGTTTGGAGACAGGGACTATTTTATTTTCTTTCCATGGAACAGGTACAACGTTTTTGGAAAAAGAAGCATTCAGGATGTTAGTCAGTGGAGAACATAGAGCATCTGCACATTGATTTAGAACATAGGCAGGTACAACATCAGGGCCAAGGCTACGTGAGGGTTTGAACGTTTCAAGACATTTTAGAACATCAAGAGTATTGAAGTCATGAAAGTTATCAGCCACATGATTTGTAAGGTTAGAAGTAATTATAGTAGAAGGAGAGCGTGTAAAAGACTGATTAAGGGCGTTAACAACGTAAGGGGAAAAAAGATTGGATCGCCTAATATTGCCAGTAAATTCATTGAATAGTTTCCACATGTTGATAAGAGATTTGCATGATAAAAGTGTATGGTTACACATAGCGCTGAGATTTTTGATTTCAGATTTGATTAGAGCATTAATGAGTCATATAATGAGAAAAACTCTGGCATTGACGAATCATTTCCCCCTCTTTATTTTACAACTCGGATGAGTATAATTGGCTATCATTGAAACCACCTGATTGCATAACATGAGTACTTCTAACTTACAGAAGTCTTAGGAGCAGCGATATTCGTGGTAATCAGATTTAGTGATAGAGTGGCAACGAGCGTCGTCCAATACCACACACTTCAGACACTGGCTTATATTCGCAAATGAGGTCAATTGTTCTCTGGACGGCATAAAATTCCGTGTTTGGCGTTCGTGGAATGTAGACAATAAGTTATGGAATAATAAAGAATACAGGTATTGGATAGACTGACTGAATCAGTACATCTGTTATATCAAGCATCGATTTGATACAAGTGATTGGTGATTATGTCCATATTCTAATCTAATAATGCCAAATCTTTTTCACGCTAATCACATAGAAGATAAGGTAGCCTTTTAATGGGCATGATAGGACAACGTGTACACTTCATGCAGAAATCCAAAGAGGTTATTTTTTCAAAGTACTTAAACCGATCTAGGTATGCAGACTAAAATTAGGCTGGATTAGTTCTGAATAGTACAATGTAATGAGATTATTACGAAGTTGGTTGCAGCGAAGGTAATTTTCTTTTCGACGAAGTCATCATCTAGGCTTTACATTCGTGTATTTATATCAAATGGATGAGAAAGCTCCAGAATAATTTCCGGTTAAGGGTCAAATTAATAAAAATTAAAATTAGGAATTAGAATGCCAAAATAAACAGGGAGACGGATAAAACTCAAACAAAGTAGCATCATAATAACTAAGAAGATTGACATTGTGCAATTAGGGGTTAGAAATGTAGAAATAACAAAAATAGACGGGATGTTTGGATAAAAAAACAAATTTGATGAGTAATTGTTTATGCAATCAGGGATTAAATATGTAGAAATAGTAAAATAACAAAAGAAACAGGAAGTTCAGATATTAAAATATGGTAGTGTAAACAGTGATTAAGAAAAACTTACAAATGATACGAGCAAACAGGAAGTTTAGATAAGAAAGCCGATAGGATGGTTATTACTAAAAAAAAAACTACCGGTTTATGATGGCCATGCCATAGACAGGGGTTGGACGTATTTCTTTTGGATACAAAGCCTGGGTTTGAGCTTTTGGATAGCCAGTGCCTTGGTTATGCCCAGATGTCTTAATTTCATTCCCTTTGATAGGTGTGATTGAATCTTGTATATTACTTTGAAGGATTTTTCGAAAGGCGCTGAATGTCCTGAATTGACCAGATGTTCTGTCACTGAACTGTGTACACATTTTTGGTCTCTTTTAACTAGCCGGACTGAATATTGTTCACGAGCGCATTTTTTGTGGCACGGTCAATGTACTCAGCTCCACAAGAGCAAGTAAACTGGTGCATGCACGTTGAGGTGGCCCAATGCGATAGTTTGTCTTTCGCCTTCTGGCTGAACAGTTACTTGCAGGAAAACGTCAGTCGTAGGCTCGCAGCAAAGCATTATATTATTATGTATGTTTTTATTAATTTGACCCTTAACCGGAAATTATTCTGGAACTTTCTCATCTATTTGATATAAATACACGAATGTAAAGCCTAGATGATGACTTCGTTGAAAAGAAAATTTTCTTCGCTGCAACTGTCTTCTTAATAACTCCTATGACCCAATGTGTAACGAGATTAGTTAAAGGTTAAGAGTGGGAGCAGACAATTGGTTAGTTGGATCATGGCCGAAAAAATTTGTCACCCATATCGTACCATATGTCGTTAATGAGATTTTGTTCCCTGACTTCCATGAACTAAAGTGTCTTTCACAGTTTTAATAATTCGCCTTAAATAATAGAAATCTTACTTTCCAAGGACTAAATGAAGCAAGAAAACACAGTGAATATGATAGATAGATTTCAAACTACCGGATTTCAATCAAGGATTAAATTTGGTTATTGGATTTCTAAGTCTCTATTAATGCTGTCGTAGTGATTTCAGTGATTTCTATGCTCATTATCACGTGAAATTGTGACTTTCGACTGTTAGAATGTCTCAAATACTTCAGCAGCAGTAGCAGCAGCACAAATCCCTGTATCATTCCTGGTGTATTCTTAAGTGAATTTTCAGTTCTGTTCATCTCTTGATAGTTTCAGCACTCACCATTAAGCAATTTGTATTTCAAATAGTGCTACATCAGTGGTCACCCAATTTCCGTGATTGGGGGGAGATAGTGTCATAGTTATAGAAGAATTATTTGCATTCCAGAATTGCTGTCTACTGAGAACTTTATTGTTTTGTTCGATTTGTGTAAAACCTGTCTAAAATCATCGGATAACAGTTTGCACTGTAACTTTAAGATTCTAAAAGCCAGTTTCTAATCATCTCAGAAAGAGATAATAACAAGTATAGAAATCTAGAATTCGTTTGTAAATGATAAAGTCACTTATTACATCCCATTAACAGATAACAATAAAACTTTATATCAAGAATATGTTTACTAAAATGAGAAAAGGAAAAGAGTCAATCAATAACTGACAATACCACCACTTTTAGTGTAAATATGAGGTTACAGAATAGGTAAGTGCATAGATTTTACTCTCTGTGCTTCTTTGGTAATCCTGCTACTATATTGGATTCAATTCCGCATTCATTTTGACCTCTTAGTATTTTGAAGTAACCTTTATCACCCCAATCTTCATTCCATGAATTGGCGCATAACCAGTACGGGATGTTCCTATAAACACCCCAACCGAGTATACGTATAGCATGTCCACCCACATAGGAGCCAGTTATATGTTTGTAGACACCAGATTTATAATTGAAAAAATCTTCGTAGACAAACAGGGCACCTTCGACAGGACCGTGTAAAAGTATTTCTTTCATAATTGAAGTTTCGTCACCGGCCACGTTATAAGATGATTTACCTAAAAACATGTGTAAAAGATATATAACAGATTACAGAAGGCGTTATTCACACAATATACAGAGTAATCTGACCACACAACGTTTGCTGACATCATTAGCTATGCTTAATATTTAGAGAAAAACATTCACCAAGTATTGATTTGTAGGGTTCTTTGTTTGATTGGTTGGAAGATTTTATCATGAGCTGATATCGATTAGAGAACCACTGGAAAACCATCAAGGAGTACTGGACATCTGATTCATCCTAGTGTTTGGGACTCTTCCACAGGAGTGCGCACTCACCACCAGGATTTGAACCCATGACCTACTGGTTACAAGACTAGAGAGCTAGTAGACCATTGTGCCGCTCGAACCTGATCCAAGGCCAGGCCATGAATTCCAACTTCTCCCAATTCACGACATAATGCGGCCAATGCTCAATGATCTCGGTGATTAACTGTCCTCACCTTCAACCTGCTGTACCCCACTGGTCACGGATTCCTACTGATGAATGGCCATAACTTGAGACGAAACAGCTGTCAGGTGCTCCTATAACCTATTTCAGCTCATGATGAAATCTTCCAACCAAAAAATCATTCAGTTTGTTTATAATGCTGACTGTAGTTTAGTTACTAGTACGGCGTTGAATATTTGCAGATAATCAATGTGGGTGTCGACTAGTAGGCTCTTCAAATAGGTGATTTTTAGTGACAAGGATTTTCTCGATGGTCGCAGAGAAGTTGTACCAGAAACTTGTTAGGACTTTAAGTTGTAGTCATGTACCTTCCTTCAAAATACCACCTATTTTCTAACTTCGGGTGGAAAATTTTCTTCCAGCCTTCAACATTCGCGTGGATAACTGGGACAGTTAAGGTTCTGAATAATATTCAGCGATTTATATTCTTTTTCGGATACTCAAGATAATATCAACGAAATGTTCCGGGCACTGGGATGGAGTCTCGGTGAGAATATTATCATTCACTGAGGAATGCAGGCACAACCAGCTGACAAGTCCCAAACTGGACAAAATGCGCATTCTGGATTCCACTGTTTGTCAACAATTAACTTCTAATTACATGCCCAGACATTGCCGGAGCATCTGCACAAGAAGGGGATATGTGACCCTGAGGCCGAGCAATTTGGTCCAATCAATCGACAGGAACAACTAAAATTCAGTTAAATGCTTTTACATTACTTCAAAAATTTTCAGCAGAAACGATGAAACGCGGGTTCTGTGTATATGGAAAAACCAATGACTGTTTGCACACGATTTATGGTGGACTTCGAAATTCATGATTTCCCATTAGAATTCTAGCAAATTCACCTATAATAATCCTTCGACATCTGAAAAATGTGCTGTATTAGCGCTATACATTTCGAACAATCTGATCACACATTTACTTGTCAAGTCAATATGTATATAGGAAGGTTAAATTAAACAAAGTGAGAGAAAAAGGAATTAAGAATAATTAACACAAATGTTTGGTAATACAATCAAATAAGGATCACCAAGGTAGGTTAAGAGTAATAACAAACTGTTTTTGAATACACAAGGAGGGGGGGCCCTGAGTTTATGAATAGCTATAGCTTCAGCGCATTTCAGTAGGCGCCCATGACCGTTTTTATAGATGACCTTAAAGACTGAGTTAACATTAATCTTATGGTCCATCTCGATTAGATGTTTAGCTATAGACGAAGTTAGTAGTCTGACATCTGCATCTATTGGCTTGTCACAATTCATCTGTTTTTCTAACCATTTTGGGATATACTCTCCCACCCTCACGTGCAAAGCGCGATTACTCCTCCCTATGTATGTATGTCCACACACACACGAAAATTGGTAAATTGTATGGGATGTGATATAATCACTTGTGCACTTTTGAGGTTTACAGTGAAGCATATGTTTAGCTTTTTCCACAATTACAGGTTGGGCTGCATAGTAGGTTCTACGGATGATTGAATTCAACCTTTGTCTCACAATTCTACTGGTTATTTCCCCGTTATATGGTAATTTGATGAAAACCTTTTTCTTAGGGACGGTATGGACTGTAGGTTTAGAGACTAGTTGACTTCTACACCTGTTTAAAAATTTCAAAGGATATCCGTTTTCAACAAGAGTATCCATTAATATTTCGTTTTCTCTGTCCATAACATCAGCCGTGCAAATACGCTGAATCCTCTTGAATATAGACACTTCACCAAGCCCCTCTTATACTGTAATGGACAGAAGCTGTGAAAATTAAAGTATTGCCCTGTCTAATAACGCTATCAAAATTTATAAGAGGGACTAACTGCTTTAAATCCTTCGACAGCATTTAACAGTAAATTTCGGCTACATGGTCTCGGGATGAAAAATAGTCGAACCATTACTACCCTTATTTTATTCTTCTGATTTTATCCAGTTCTGATTGGTTGACTGTTGGAGGCACAAGGCTTTCACTATACATCCACATCTCTGACTGAGGACTGAACTCCGTAGAGAATCTTAGAAATTGATTATTGAACAGAGAATATTCCTTTTCGACAACTCCTTCTTCATCAGGTTCTACAGTTATATGTCCATTATATAGATACAATGATTGTTATTCACAACATTAGTGGGTTTGTTTTTAGAAAGGGCAACATCGAATCATTTAGATTAGAATTTCAAAAGTTAGTTGCAATTAGATTGTTAATAGATTATAGTCCATTTATAATCCGTTTAGAATAACAATTTCACAATTATATTCTAATCCTGTGTAATTTTGTTTCTTTCTATGCCTCTTGTATTCTATATTCACACCTCCTAACTTACATTTCAAGTTGAAAAATTTTGATTACAATTTGTTTCCATGCTCATTTTGTTTACATCTGTAATTCGTTCTATCCCTGCATCACTTTTCTTTCTAAGCCTCTTGTAAGCCGTATCAAGTTAAAAATAATTGTCTACAGGATTTTCATCATAAGCTGACATAGTTAGAGAACCATGGAAAACTACCTGGGAGTACTGGACAGCTGTTTCACTCCTCCTAGTTTGGGACTCTTCAGCAGTACGCACCCACCCTTACGTTTCGAACCAGGACCTTCTGGTTACAAGACGAGCTCGTATACCATTAAGCCACTGGGACCCGTTCCAATGGCTCACGAATTCTAACTTCTGCCAATTCACAACATAGCGCGACCCCAGCCAGTGTCTTCAGGGGGCGAGTATTGGTCCTCACACTCGACCTGCTGCACCCTACTGGTCACGACTTCTCACTAGAACCCCAGGTAATTACCTCCCTGAATAGGCCCAGTCGCTAGTGAGAATCTCATTGATATTCAAGTGTTGGTTTGTAGGTTTGTCACCTTTTATTAATTAGCCTTTGAAATTATTTCTCCAGTTATCAAATATTAATTGTGCATACGTTGTAACTGTTTTCCAATCCTATGCAATCTTGTCTCTAAGCCCGTTGTAATCTATATTCGTACCTCCATACTTTCATATCAAGTTGAAAATTAATTATTCTCCTTCGTTACTATGTGGAATTAGATCAGTAATAATTGTATCCATGTAAATTAATGTACATAAATGCAATTGTACAGCTGCTTTTGAGAATGAAATCGCCGAAGGGATAGTTATCTTTGCTGAACTTCTTGTTCTTTTCCCTCTAATGTCTCGATGGGTATTTTTCACGATTTGAAATAATTTCAAATAACTTTTTAAATTCTGATCTAAATAATTCGATATTGCCCTTTCTAAAAACAAACCCACTAATGTTGCAAATAACAATCATTGTATCATTATAATGGACATATATCTGTAGAACCTGATGAAGAGGAATTTGTCGAAAAGGAATATTCTTTGTTCAATAATCAGTCCTTTGAAATTTCGAATGGACTTCATTAATCAATCTTCTCAGCAGATGTATCGATAAAACAACTGTGTAATACATATTACATATTACTCACCGTAGTATTTATCATTTTCATACAGTCTTTCATAATCATACTGACAATGATTTTCACATTCAGGTGTGTCGTATAACTGACCTCCACATGATGGGTGTCTTCCTCGAGTTGAATGGTGACTGCATTCTGGAAATGGATATGGCTGACATCCTGAATTCGACTCATTTGATCCACCGGTTACAATACCCTCATCTTTCCAATAATCCCATGCCATTCCTGGTATACCACCTTGACAACCTAAACCACATCTTGTACAACAACTCAGTAAATTAACAGCACTCAACTCCACTGATATATGACTGTGAGAATGAATGCAAATGCGATCACTCATTGCTTCGACAGCACCGAAAGCCTACACAATAATAATAATAACATGCATAAGGTTGGCTTATATTATAAATATATTCCACGCGTAACTGAGTAGGTTAAATAGTGGCTTTTAAGGAAACAGTTGATTATGTAATCACAGTTATTAATGAATATGAAAGTGCCACGTATCCCCTCCATAACGACTTTCATATCACTTCGAACTTTCTAGTTGTACTTTGCCTTCGGAAAGTCGATTGACACCGAAGTAAATTCGATTAAGAATAAATAACAACTTGAGAAATCCCAGAGGAATTTGAGAGTTAATTCAGTTATTAACATTGGACACTACGGTAGTAAGTAATTCCATATTGGTTTGTTTATTAAATGTATCACACAGTGAAACAGTATTACTTTTTACTGGACGACAATGTTTAGAACACGATCTATTATTGTTCATAATCATATCATCAATTCTAAACACACGACTGTGAAACTTGAGTTTTATAGTTTTCTTTGTCCTCTACTATTTGTCGTCGTTGGGGTAGTAGAATTTTCCAGATATCTGGGATACGTGTTGAATCATTTATATTACACGAGTTTGCAGTTGATTCGACAAACAAAAACACCGTTATGAACAAGGTTAAGAAATCCACGGTGGGCCTTATACGCCGAATGAAGCCGTTCCTAGGTGAATCTAAATGGTTTAGTTTAATGCTCGAAACTAATAACCCCAGTAGGATGTATGGTGTTGTTAAAGTTCATAAATCAGGATACCCTATTAGGCCTATAGTTGATTTTAGAAATTCACCTACCTATGAATTATCTAAATATTAAGCCATGGTATTAAATCCCCTTAAACACCACTCAAAATCTAGACTAACAAATTCCTATGAACTGAAACATACATTAGTTAATTTAAAATTAGATAATGAAGACAAAAATGGTTAGTTTTGACATTGTCAGTTTATATACACGTATACCAATAAATCTGGCTATGGAGGCAGTCAGAAACGAACTCATTTCTCACTAAGAACTCGAAATTAGGACGAAAGCGCCACTTGAGGACATCATGATACGAGTGAACCTATGCCTGACTTTCACAGTATTTAAATTCCAAGGAAAATATACAAACAAACTGAGCGAGTTGTCATACGGTCATCAATATCCCCCGTTGTGTTGCAGATATATTCATGGATAAGTGGGAAAACATAGCGATTGAAACGTTCACCCCCACACCAAAAGTATGGTGGAGGTATGTAGATGACATATTCACCGTATTAGAACAAAGGATATAGATAGATTTTTTGAACACATCAACTCGAAGGTGGAGGCAATTCAATTCACTAATGAATTCGAAAGTCAGAAAGGGGAGCTTCCAATGTTAGATTGTAGATTAAAAAGGAAAAAAGATAGGAAGTTAAACACTAGTGTTTACAGGAAACTCACACATCCAAACAGCTATTTGAACTTCAGATCAGCCCATCCTATTTCAATGAAAATAAGGTTGATGAAATGTTTAAGTAATAGAGCACAAAAGCTAAGTAGTACCAAAGAAAATCTAAGACAGGAAGTGATACACATAAAAGAAGCCTTGAAACTTAATAATTACCCGGATAAATTAGTCAGGAAATATATAGGGAAATGTAAAAATAAAATAAATAATAATAGCAGTGATAGTAGTAAGAATAATAATAATATTAGTGACGACATGCATGTCAAACATGCTCAGGATTATTACAACACTAATAATAAGGAATCTAAATCATCAGTAGTAATTCCATACATGGAAGGAACCTCGGAAACATTACGCGGAATTGTTAACAAGGCAGGTAGAAATAAAATTGACTGGCATTCAAGCCATCCACAAAATCAGTTTAGAAACAAGCTTTGTCGGTTAAAGGATCAATTCTGTGGAGCAAACGAAACAATTTAGTTTATCTAATACCCTGCCTGCTGGAATGATTGTCAGGTCAAGTACATAAGTCAAACTAGTAGAACAGGGGTAGTCAGTCAGACTAGCCGAGTATAACAAAACCTAGCAGGAAAATCTAGATTAATTGGCCCTAATAAGATAAGAAATCTGGAGAATAGATCAGCCGTAGATGACACTACATGCAATTTCATATAACCATACAATAGGCTGGATAGGATAAGATGAAGGTGAAGGGAGAGATTGATAACTGACCGAAGCTTTGTTTATCGAATCAACTACAAACAGGTGTAATAGGAAGGATTCAACACTTGTCCAACCGGATATCTGCAAAGTTCTACAACCCCAACGATGACAAATAGGAGAGAACAAAAAGACAACTATAAAATCAAGTTTCGAAGTTATAATTGATGATATGATTATGAGAAATAATAGATTGTGTTCGCAACGTCATTCAGTAAATAATAATACTGTTTCACTGTGTGATACATCTAATAAACAAACCAATAAGAAATTTGAGACTTGTTCTCTGTTACTTCAAGATGACACTGTGAACCGAGAGACAATCTAAAATTCATACTATATAATTGTGAATTGGTAGTGATATATCGAACGTCTCATCTCAAGAAGTGACAATTTGATATTTGATATTGAATGAGACACTAGTGAACAGTCCTGAAATAGGACAAATTATGTTGATAAAAACTTCGCTACCTGAAGTAATTATCTAATAAGTATCCATAAGTGATCAAAACAATCACTGTTTCAGTCTTTGGTGTTCTCCCCCAAAAAAGATATTGACACCTTATGAACTCAGCTACATTTCCCAAAGAAAAACATACATATGCGTGATTTTCCTAAAGTCCATTAGCTTTTCCACTGATTCAGCAGGATTTAAAAAAAAAAGAAATTCACGGCAAATAAATTAATTGATGCATTCAGGCAAACAGTACTCGAAAGTATTCACCAGCAACAAAACAAGTCTGCCTCAACCAAAAGACTCCATTATGATTGGCATAAAATTCAAACAAATATATACATTACCCAACATGAACCACAGCCTGATTGGTCACGAATTGTTCTGATACTCTCACATTTATTCCAGTGTTTACGAGAATCAAAGAATTTCGGTAAATCTATATTCACTTCATTGTGATTGATTGTTGGACGTGATCTTTGTTTGACATCGGAATCTTCAAATATGACACCCATCATTAAACGAGCAGTATCAATTGTATCGAATCGATTTGTCCTGTCAGCCTTCCATCCAGCATTTGGCTAAATTATAAAAGCGAATGAAGATAAATGACACACATACACACATGGGAGTTTTTGAATTATTTCTGAGTTAATAAATGCGTAAACGTTCAAGTGAAAGGTCGTCATGTTATAAGGTGGACAATTCTCATTATATTTGTCAAATTAACACTTGTATTTTGAGATTCTATCGAAAGTTTTCTAACAGATATTATGTTTTAAATGGTCGAAGGCAATCGATAGGAAAACTTGGATCTAGGTTTCGTGCTGGTTGGCACTCACCAGTCAGAATGGCGTATCTGCAGTTACCTTGAGGGAAGGCGTATCCCTTCTGAGATTCGAAACCGCGTCCCCCAGTGCCATTTGGCACGAAATCTAGGTCCAAAGCTTCCTGCTGATTGCCTCCAACCATCTACTATCATCAAATTTGTGTGCACCATGATGGTGAGCCACCTAGAATGGTGGTCACATTGCAAACCTGACTGACTGATAGAATTCAGTCTGCATCAAAAATAAAGAAAAAACTAGACATATCACACTAAGTTACTAGTGTCCAATCAAAGATATTATGTCTGTGTCCAAGAAAGAAAAAACATAATTGACTGTTGACTTTCTAAACCAGCAGCTAACAGCTTTATTCTGTCGTACTTGTTCGATTATTTAAAGTAGAATTTCTAGTTGTAGTGGATTTGAATCCGGCATCCAATAGACTCACATGAGAAATCTGTTAACGTATGGTCTAAATTCACTCAGTACACAATGTCGAGAACCCTGAAACAAGTGGACATATATGATAATCAAACTGTATCATCACTTTATTACAAATGTACTAGAAATGTATGATATCTCACTTACATGTTTGTTGATATACGAGATCAATTCATCAGAAAGTGGTGGAAATTTGACAGTTTCATTTACTTCATAAGGTTCGACTATAACTAAGATGGATATTGCAATAATACTGATTGAAATCATTATTTAGATAATCAAAAATAAGTGATTACCAGCAAATATATATATATCATCTTTTTGATGCCTTTTTTAAATTGAACTTTGAATATTGAACACAATGAATGATAGAATTTGTTTGGCTGTTTGCTTTTGTATGACTATCAGATAATTATACAAAACTTCATCCTTGTAAAAATAATTACTAAATAATCACCCTTATTAAATGCAGGAAAACACTAAAAAATGTGTATGTAATGCAAGTAACTGATTGGTAACTTAGCTACACATAGTACAGGTAAAAATATTGCGGAATCGTATTTGCCAGCTTATCACAAAAAAAAACAACTAATAAATTTCATAACATCAGATCTTATATTCCTTTTGCACACTTTCATCGATCATGTTGTAAGTGTTCCAATAATGATCATTAATGTAAGAATAGAACTTCTGCACTGTGGTAGAGTATAATTCCATTATGTGTACAATATCCCCTATCGTAGGAGATATCTTTATGGACAGCTGGGTAAATATGGTTCTAAATGCATTTAATCCTAGTCCAAAAATATGGTGGAGATATGTGAATGACACTTTCACAGTGTTAAAAACAGAACATATCTCTCTCTAGCTTCTTGACTCATATAAACCCATTAGTATAGGGAATAAAATTGACCTTTGAATTGGAAAATGAACAAGGAAAATTAGCCATGATGTTGGATTGTAAAATCAAACGAACAGAAGAAGGCAAACTGAACACTAGCGTTTATAAAAAGCCAATGCATTCTAATAGATATTTAGGCTTTAATTCATTTCGTTCGTTATTTATAGAGGCTGGCTTAGTTAAGTGTCTAACAAACCGAGCCATAGCACTAAGTAGTACAAAAAAAACGTGCGTGATGAAGTAAAACAGATAGAAGAAGCGTTGGTTGGTGTTAAATAACTAACTGTCCTAGAAAATTCACTAGGAAGATCAGAAAAAGGCCAAAAGCAAAATAAAAATAATGGGGAAACTAATACTGATAACGTAAATAAGAGAGAATATAAGACATCTACAGTTTTACCATATACGGAGAGGATATCTGAGACCCCATGTAGGATTCTCAATAAAGCAGGAATTCGGGTGGCATTCAAACCTACAAACTTACTCAGAGACAAACTCTGTAGACAAAAGGACGCGGTGGACTCAATTAAACAAAATGATATAATTTACAAAATACTTTGCACTGACTGTGAGTCAAGTCGAACTAGTAGGTCGGGGGTAGTGAGATTATCAGAACATAAGAATTTAACTAAGTGTGTAGAATGATTGACCCTACCGGCGAAGATAGGTAATTTAGAAAAAACCTCAGCTATCGCACTGTATGCATTAACAGTGCACAACTGCACAACAGGGTGTGTGGGACAGAGTCAAAATTTTAAAAAGTAATATAGGTAGATGGAGAGAGAGAGAGATAGGTTGATTACTGAATCCTGCCTGGTTCATCGAGTCTACGCCCAACACATGCAGCAAGAATGACTCAAAGCAAATACCAGAAATACAGAAGATATTATCACCACCAGTGAAATCAGAGGAGGATAATAAATAATCTTAAATTGTATTATATTTCAATTCACGTACGTCATTACATTCTAACAAGTTACTTATTTTTACTGCATAAAACATCTTATTCCCCATCTGATTGTATCTGATCAATAACACTCACATATTTTATTATTTCTGAATGTACATTATCCCATAGTGGTTTTTATTCAAATGTCTAATCATTAATTTTTATTCATGTATATCAATGAAGTAAAAGTTGTGTGAGTGACTTGATATGATTATGAGAGGCAGTAGTTTGTACTCGAAACTTGGTCATCAGTTAACATTACTGTATTACACAGTGTGATTTATCGAAATAAAATCTTATCTATAATTGAGTTATACTCTACTACAATGATAAAATTCTACACTAACGCAACACATTTCAAATTTAAAACAATTAGTCCCTTTGATAAATTTGAAATGTTTGAACAAGGCATTAAGAAGACAAATTTCGCGAGATGATATCATTTCGTAGTTTCTTTACAACCGCTTTACAACTAACATGGTTAACAATGATAAAATAAAGTTCATGAAAATTACTCAGTTAAATAAAAACAAAAGTACATACTAATGACCAATCATATTAAGATAGGTCATGCAGTCCAGGGTAGGCGAAGATTGAAGTCTATTGATTTTTGTACACACAGTTTAGGCTGTATGTGATTAATCCAAAGTGCTTCCATCACCTTCAATAACCTTGAATTAGAGTTATGTGAAATAATTGTGAAACAGTCATTAATATTTATTTTGTGACCAGACATTAATAAGTGTTTTGCAATGGATGATGCTGGATTTCTATTAAGATTAATCGCGTTAGGATTTTCGATATGATTTACTAGCCATTTTGGAATATGTTCTTTTCGACGACATTGGAACATTCTGTTAGTTCTACCTATATAGGTGTCACCGCAGCTGCAGGTGAACTTGTAGATACAGTTTGAAGTAGAGTCCACAGAATTTCGTCCTTTAATCGTAGGAACAGGGATCGAAAATGTTCGGCAAGTGAGAAAAAGAGATGCGGCGTAGAATGTGCGTTTGATGGCTGATCGAAGTCTTTGAGTTGTCAACTGCATAATCTGGTCGCCCTTGAATGGTAGATTAATAAAGATGGCTTTCTTTGGTACAGAAGCTGTCTTTTCGAGATGTGGTTTTTCTTTGCTGTGACAAGTGATAAAGCTCTCCGGATAACCATTAGCTAATAAAACTGAATGTACATGTCGAAGCTCATCCATCAGTGTGTCACTCGTGCATATTTTTCGGGCCCTTGAGAACAAACATTTCACTAGGGAACGTTTATACTGGATAGGAACAAAACTGGTAAAATGAAGATATTGTCCAGTCCATGTTTGTTTACGAAAAATAGAGCGCTGAATCGTTCCATCATTTCTCCTAATCATAGTAATATCCAGGAAACCGAGTTTGTTATTCGATTCTAGTTCGGAAGTCACTCGAATATTTGGATGAATATGATTAAATAGAGTAATGAAGTTTTCAATAGATTTACTATTATTACCAATAATAAGAGTATCATCTACATAACGTTTATACAGCATAAATCCTCCAAGCATACCTTGCATTTGTTTCTCTAATTTCGACATAAATATATCTGCTAACAGGGGCCCCAGAGGGCTCCCCATCGCAACACCATCGATTTGTTTATATGCCTTTTCTTGGAATGTGAATCTAATATTTTCTGTACACATTAAGATTATGTCTTTGATGTAAGTGACGGGAATGGGTAAGTTTATGCCGTTGCTTGTGATGTAATCGCAAATAAAATCAACAGTTTCATGAAGGGGAACATTGGTGAATAAAGATTCTATGTCAATTGAACACATAACCTTTTCCTTAATGTTCAAGGTGTCCAGCATTTCTGTAAGATCAAATGAACTTTTTACAGAATGATTTGATAATGAGTCTCTTACAGGCGTAAGGACCTCTGTAATCCATTTGGCGATTTTATGATAAGGAGAATTTGACATGTCTAAGATGGGTCTCAGTGGGTTCCCAGTTTTGTGGATCTTCGGAAGACCATAAAGCTGACACCTATATAGGTAGAACTAACAGAATGTTCCAATGTCGTCGAAAAGAACATATTCCAAAATGGCTAGTAAATTATATCGAAAATCCTAACGCGATTGATCTTAATAGAAATCCAGCATCATACATTGCAAAACACTTATTAATGTCTGGTCACAAAATAAATATTAATGACTGTTTCACAATTATTTCACATAACTCTAATTCAAGGTTATTGAAGGTGATGGAAGCACTTTGGATTAATCACATACAGCCTAGACTGTGTGTACAAAAATCAATAGACTTCAATCTTCGCCTACCCTGGACTGCATGACCTATCTTAATATGATTGGTCATTAGTATGTACTTTTGTTTTTATTTAACTGAGTAATTTTCATGAACTTTATTTTATCATTGTTAACCATGTTAGTTGTAAAGCGGTTGTAAAGAAACTACGAAATGATATCATCTCGCGAAATTTGTCTTCTTAATGCCTTGTTCAAACATTTCAAATTTATCAAAAGAACTAATTGTTTTAACATTTCGAACAATCTGATCAAACACACACAGTCTTGTCATAGGAATACATATGAAATTAATGAAAAGTTAAGAGGTGAGAATATCGACTACTTAGGTCAAGTTAAAAGGACTACATTGAAGGTCAAAATAACAATATGAAGACCACTAAACCAAATAACCGAAGTAATAGTACATCTATCCTGGCTGGTATCAAAACAAAACAAAGTTTACCAAGGAAGGTAGGTTTAGTGTGATGACGAATTGTTGGCTTGAACTCATAAAGATGGTTTAAACTTTCTAATTGCCGACTAGGGCTTCTACAAACTCTAGAATACGCCCTCCAACAAACATGTTTTATACATAGGTTTAAAAGATGTGCTAACGTCAAATTTTATGTCCTGTCTCCTCTGTATTATGTTTTGCAATAGAGTTAGGAGCTAGGTCTCCTGTTCTCACCGTTAATTGCTTCCGAAGACTCTATTTGTTTCTGGAGCCATTTAGGAATTTGCTCTGAAGCCAGGCCTTACTTGCAGAGGTCGATGAGTCCTCCCTATGTATGTGTGTCCACACCTACATTCAAATTGGTAATTACAGTGGGATGTGACATCAATTTTTTCACATGTTCGGAGGGCTTTGATGGATGGATAAATTGGCCTCACATTCCCAATAATTATGATATTAGCTGCATAGAAAGTCTTTTTAAGAATAAAGCAGCGTTCAATATTTGTCTAGTTAACAAGCTGCTTTGATGTCCCATATAGGGTAGCTTGATGTACACGTCTTTCTCAGGGAGGCAAGTTGTGGAGTGGGTCTTGGTGTTCCACTGACTACTTTGTATCTCCTGATGAACTTGTCTGGATAATTGTTATCAACCAGAGTTTGTGTCAACTTTCCTCCTTCTTCATCGAGTGTGTCTTCAGTGCATATACGTTGGATTCTACTGAAAGGGCACCTTACTAAGTCTCATTTATACCTTCTTATTGCTTTATCTAATTTCATGAAGGGAAAATATCGTTTTAAAATTTAATACTTACATCAATAGACAACAGAATATTTTTGTGTACATGAATACATCGTGTTTCAATCGTTGAAATGCTTCTTCTTCTTCTGTGTGTTTTAAAACTTTGTCTATATACTACCTAGAAATGTGTGTTCAGATCGATCATATCACTTGTATCATAAACGATTCAATCACGAGCACTTCTAGGTATTTTCATACCTGCTAACGATAG